CGCTTCTTAATACATGGTTGCCGTTTCACTGCAGAACTGCTAATTTGAACTGCTCATTTGATTCCTGCATCTCGTCAGTTACTTCAAGGAACCATAAATCAATCTACACTGGAAGGACTTTAAGTCCCATCATTCATTAAGGAAAGATAAGCTCTCCTATGATTGTATTTACTAATTGGTTCTAGCCACAAGTTCTGGAAAGGATGAGGGTTATCCAAAGTCTGCCTCTGAGATTCTACTTGCTACCTCTATTTGAAATATAATTTGCCAATTACTCAATGTTATTGCTATTGGAGCCTACTAAACACTTCACATACCAGGATAATTCATTACCAAGTTATTTCCTATACTAAGAGACTGTTACTTTGTACTACAGGACTCATGCTCTGGTAGCCTTATTGAAGTCTTATGGACTATACTACTTACTGCTAATTAAGCATTCCTCATTGAAGTCTCTTGGGCCATATTGTTTGCTGCCGATTAAGCATTTCCTTATTTTTATAATTGCTATATTCTTGTGTTGCAATTCTGAAACAAGATTCCAAACTTCAATGCATTATTATTTCAAAACCTATTTGCTGCAAAAGACTGCCAAAGTTAATTTCCTTTAATTAAATAAATTATATTTTCTTAAAGTGACTGTATCAAATTTATTATTTCATCTGCAGTTGCATTCCAAATACATTTTCAAGAGACAGGTATGTGATGTAGAGGCTACTCTGGGAGGCCATAAACTTTCCTAAAGAGGTAGATTTTAAGGCACTTCTTAAACGATTGAAGACTAGGGGAGAGTCTGACGGCGGTAGGCAGGCTTTTCCATAGGACGGGAGCCACCCGCAAGAAGTCCTGCAAGCGTAAGTTGGCCATCCGCGTGAGAGCAGCGGACAGAAGATGGTCACAGAGCAGAGAGACCAAGAAGGGGCATACCTATGGATCTGTGAAGATATGAGGGGCTATTATTGTTCAATGCTTTATAGGTATGGGTTAGCATTTTGAATTGGCTCCTATAGGATACAGGAAGCCAATGTAAGGACTGACAGATGGGTAAGGTGTGAGAGGACCGACTAGAGAGGAAAATCAGTCTGGCGGCAGCATTTATTACAGACTGTAGTGGGGCAATATGGCTTTTGGGAAGACCAATTAGGAGAGGGTTACAATAATCCATGCAGGAAATTACTAGAGCATGGACAAGCTCCTTGGTAGCATCTTGTGTAAGAAAGGCCGGATGCGGGCTATGTTTTCAAGGTGGAATCTACAGGATTTGGCAACATACTGGATGTGAGGCCAGAATCAAGTATGATGCCAAGACAGCGTGATTGCAAGGATGGACTTATGTGGATACCACTAACTTGAAGGGAGAGCGAAAGAGGAGGTTCAGTATTAGGAGGAGGAAAGACAAGGAGCTCAGTTTTAGAGAGACTGAGTTTCAGAAAGCAGGAGGACATCCAATCAGAGATGGAAGAAAGGCAAACAGTGGCACGTTGCAGGACGGTAGGGGAGAGGTCCGGGGAGGAGAGATAAATCTGGGTGTCATCGGCGTACAGGTGGTAGTGGAATCCAAAAGAGGTAATAAGTTTGCCAAGAGAGGCAGTATAAAGAGAAAATAAAAGGGGACCAAAGACAGAGCCTTGGGGGACTCCAAGCGAGACAGGACGAGTGGAGGAGGTATCATTTGAAAAGGAGACACTGAATGAGCGTTGGGAGAGATAAGATGAAAACCACAAGAGGACAGAGTCACAGAGACCGGGTGATTGAAGAGTTTGAAGGAGGGCATGATCAACGGTGTCAAAGGCAGCAGAGAGGTCAAGAAGAATTAGTATGGAGTAGTGGCCTTTGGATTTAGCTGCGATTAAGTCATTAGTAACTTTGATAAGAGCAGTCTCAGTAGAGTGGAGAAGGCAGAAGCCAGATTGAAGTGGGTCAAGGAGAGAGTTGTAAGTGTGGCCATTGCCGCGCATGCACATTAGGTCTAACGTCGGCTGGGGAGTAGCGTTGGCGGAGCCTGCCTCAGCACCGAGGGACATCGGCGCTGGATTTAGGTAAGTGGTTGAAGGGGTTTTAACCCCTTCAGTCCTGAGGGAGGCACTCCAGTGGTCTATAGTGCCAGGAAAACAGGTTTGTTTTCCTGGCACTATAGGATACCTTGTATTTATAACGTCATTCTAAATGTATTTTGATTTAAATATATAGATATATTAATATCAAAATACAGTTAGAACAAATTTAAACCGGTATATAATTTATTTAAAATTTTATTTAATCTTTTCAATTTATTTATTGATTATTTTTATTTTATATAAATAATAATTACATTATATATATCTATATATATATATATATATCTTTAGATATATATAGATATAAATATATATATTTAACATTATTCTTAGTGTATTTTAATATTAATATATATATATATATATTATTAAAATACACTTTTAATAATGATTTATGTATGTGTATGTGTATTTAAAAGTACTAAGATCATATATATATATATATATATAAAATGATATAAGTACTTTTATTTAAGTTTTACAAACTTTGTAAAACTTTTCTGCAGGCATTAGGGGGACTGCCTTAGAGCTCAGGCAGGCCCTCTGCAGGCACTGCACAAGCCGGCTATTCCAGCCATGTGATCGCAATTACCCCACGATCACATGGCACGGGAGGGCCGGATTGGGCAGTGGGGGTCTGCCTGAGCTCCCAGGCAGACCCCAGGATCGCTGGCGGGGTATTGCCAGCAATCAGGTAAGTGGCAATTTACTATCGGATGCACCAGGTATGTCTGAGGTCGTTAACGACCATTTTTTGTTGGTTGTACCTGGTACGTTAGAGGTCGGGGAGGGGTTAAAGCTGTGTGAAGCATATTTATACTCTTTTTGCAGGGGGTGCTCTCCACAGTATAAACATGCACAAAAGGAGGCAGGATTATTTATCTGTAGGTTATTATTAAAATTATTTTAGATATGACACTGGAGCACAATGGTTCTCTTGACTGCTAATGGTTATTAACATATCAAAAGAATTCACTATCCAAGAGGGAATATAGACATGGTAATATAAAGAGTTAGTTTACGTTGAGATAGACCTACAGGCAATTTATGTGTAACATTTCACACCTTGCAGAGGGGCTCTGGAGTAACAGCTTCAAAGTGTTGTAAACCTTCTGACATCTATCACATTCATATATACCTTATGTTAACCCCTTTTGACATCTATCTTCTACATTAAAATTGGCCATACCACCTCTACCAAGTAGCCAATTCATGTATGCACTACACAAATCATGTTAAATAGCAATATTCTATAGCAATGAACTATGCACCCTTGTTGTGACAGAGCCTGCCATTAAAACATAAATTATGTCAATTTATTTTTTTTAAAACCACTTATATAAATGCTTTGCAAATGCTGATATTTTAATGTTGTACCTTTTACAAAAATATTGAAAATAGAGTACATATTTTTCACATTGTTAACATAAATCGAAATATTAAACGTTTTGTGATATAAATGGACACAGCATCAAAACAACTTTAGCTTAAAGAATCACTATAGTGTCAGGAAAACAAAGCGGTTTTCCTGACACTATAGTTCCCTGAGGGTGCCCCCACCCTCAGAGTTCTCATCCCTTGGCGCTGAAAGGGTTAAAACCCCTAAAACTGCTATGTTTACATTAGGGGTTAAGCCAACCTCTAGTGGCTGTCTTCCGGTCAGCCACTTACTTTAATCCAGCGCCGGGCTCCCTCGGCGATGGTGACCACTCCTCCACCTCCGACGTCAGTTTCCGAGTGGAGCGGAATGCGCATGTGCGGCAAGTGCTGCACGCGCATTCAAATAGTCCATAGGAAAGCATTTTTTAAACGCTCTGCGCGATGGATGCGATATTCGTATCCAGCGTCGCAGATGCGCCTCTAGCGGCTGTCCGGAAGACAGCCACTAGAGGTTGGCTTAACCCCTAATGTAAACATAGCAGTTTCTCTGAAACCACTTAACACCTAACCAATTATTGATAATTGTACAGTGTACTTGTACAGCCTTCCATAAACACTTCCTGTAAAGAGAGCCCTATTTAGGCTTTCTTTATTGCAAGTTCTGTTTAATTAAGATTTTCTTATCCCCTGCTATGTTAATAGCTTGCTAGACCCTGCAAGAGCCTCCTGTATGTGACTAAAGTTCAATTTAGAGATTGAGATACAATTATTTAAGGTAAATTACATCTGTTTGAAAGTGAAACCAGTTTTTTTTTTCAATGCAGGCTCTGTCAATCATAGCCAGGGGAGGTGTGGCTAGGGCTGCATAAACAGAAACAAAGTGATTTAACTCCTAAATGACAGTGAATTGAGCAGTGAAATTGCAGGGGGAATGATCTATACACTAAAACTGCTTTATTTAGCTAAAGTAATTTAGGTGACTATAGTGCTCCTTTAAATATGAAATTATTCAGTAAAATAAGGGAGAAAGTCTTGAGGGTATTGGCGTAGTGACATATGTAAAATTTAGTGTATAGGACTAGTGGTGCATTTACTAAACGGTAATAACTTTGGAAAATTGGACCAGAATAGATAAATGTGCTGTTTAAAGTTCTTTTATTTTGGTTTTAACTAGTTTTTAACTGCTCAGAATGTATCACAATCTATATTTTGTGTTTAAATTATCATAAACTGACCTACACAGTACTTCACTTGATAATAAGGGAGTGTATCTGTTTTTATCCTTTGCTTTACTAAGTCTATAACTATATTTGACTTTTCCAAGTATTAGAGACTGTAAATAGGAGACCGTTCCAAAATCCAGCTTTGGAACCAGTGCCCTGAAATACTGCATGGCTGCAACTCTTGACACTGGCTACAAAGTAACCGTCGTAGAATGCTGCGATACATCCACGTGCTCAGCCTATGCACAGCCGCACCAAGTGCCAGGAAAGCGACCAATAAACAGCGTCTCTCTCCCTCTCCGAGAGACTCTGATTGTTGGTACCACGTATCACGTGACTGCTCACAGTCAATATTGAGCTCACCGGGGAAGGTCGCGTCCTTCGGCGTCGGAAGTGAAATTTCTGTGAAAGATGGCGGCGCGCAGGGTGTACGGCAAGATTAAACAAAATGCCTTGCTCCCCGAACACCTGCTGCAGGACACCCTGACTAAGGTCCCCCCAGCTTCCTCGTCGCTATACCCTCCTATCGTAGCGTCCCTTACTGCTAAAAGCAAATCCTCTAAGCGCCGCCGGTTAGAGGAGCACTATAAACGGGTGCATGCTCTCACTAATATCCCGGAGAAACTGAAACTCATCACCGGCCTCCAGCGGCTCAAATACGTGCTATATCCTCAGACATTCGCTCTGAACGCCGACCGCTGGTACCAGCATTTCACAAAAACTGTTTACCGGCCTGGGCTACCGGAGAGAGGGACTAGCATAGGGGCTACCACTCAAGGGACACCATGGGACCAGGAGCAGCTGAAGGCAATGGTGTGCGAGGCTCTCCTGCAGGAGTATTTCTATGCCAAGAAAGGCAGAACCTACCTGTACAGGAGGCAGGAGGTGTCAGCTGCCCCCTTTCTGACCAGCCTGGCATCGATACTGAGCACTCAGTGTGCCAAGTATAATCCAGTGCTCTTCCAGTCTAGCCTGGGTAAGTACTGGTTTATTGCTGCCAGGGTATTGACCACTAAATCTCCTTGAAGTTGCCATTCAACCTTTTTTAAATGCGTTGGTTAAAAAAAAATAACCTACTTGAGACATTTACACGATTACTGTTATTTTTATATATTACAAAATAAACTCTGAGTAATTACAACTGATTCTACAATATATGTGCAATGCTACAAAAGCCAAGTAAAAAACAGGAGGTGGTAACCTGGCTACCAACTTCTTGGTTTTTACGTGGCTTTTAGCTTTGTCCATATATTCTGTTTTATTGAGATAGAGATAGATATATATATGTAAAATTTTGTGCCAGTTTTAGAGCTGTATTAAGAAGCTAATCCTCATGTTTATCTCTTCTTTATTAGCTAGGATTGGTTTTTCTTTGATATATTTTAGCTTTATTACATCTGATTCAAAGTGTATTATTAAAACATTGCCTGTGTAGTGTTTGTGTAGAACATGATCTGCCTCTTATTTTTATTTTATTTTTTTTCAAGCTTATCACATTTTCAGTCACAATTCTATCTCATGTCATAATAGTAAATGGGCAGATGCTGAACAGGGGACAGCACAAGGGGTTAAAGACTGCACCACAGGGGTAGTCCTTGACAGAGGGGGAAGCTATAGTGCCAGGAAGACAAGTTTGTTTTCCTGGCACTATAGTTTCCCTTTATGTGGGATTTCAGAGTAACTACAAAGTTAATTTCCTATATTAGGCCAAAGTAGCTTAATGAGAGAACTAACATAATTTTTCTTGTTCAGCTATTGTAACCTTAAATTTTACATTCACTTTCCATTCACCTTGAATTCACACTTTAGTGAATAACTTTTTTTGTTTTTATTGGAAAATAGTGCCATCCATCTTTGGGTTTTGGAGACTGTAAACATTTTCCTATTCACTTCACTTTTTTTTTATTTTTTTTTATTTTATTAAGCAAGTTACAAAATACAGTAAATATACTTTTTTTTTTTTTCACATAGATGTAAAACCAGAGGTAAACTTTTACTGGCTTCGTGGAGAGACCAAGGTTCCCCGTGGACACAGAAAAGGTTGTATTGATCCTGTGCGATTTCAGATTGATGATAAGCCACTTGTCCAGATCAGAATACCCAAAGCTCTTGCAGAAGTAAGACCTTTTGAGAAAATGTATATTAAATTCTTTAAAGATAGTGTGTTTTTTTTTTTTTTTTAATTATTTTTATTCTAAATTTAAAAGCTGTGAATGAAAAGCGAGTACTTTCTTGGAGATGAAATCATATTTTTTTTTAATTACGGTAAGTAAATCTAGTGCGATTCTCTTTATCACAAGATGGTAAATTTACTTCACACCTCTATGCATTCTTTCCAGAATGTTTCCCTCCGTGTCATTTGTTCTCCCCTCAATATTGTTTAGCTCACTTTTAAAGTATTAAGACTTTTTCTATAGAAGTAAATTCTTTAAAGCTAGTAGCAACCCTAGCTTTCAACGGTAGTGTACATTTGGGGTCTATGGAATCCTAAATAAGGATGAAGCACACAAATGTAAATCATTAACACATGTAATTCAAAATTGAAGTACTAATGATATTTGTTGACTTAGAATACAGCAGTGTTTCATTATTATTTATGATGTATCCAAAAGAACAGCTCCACTTCTTTCCATGGTACTGGACTGTTGTGTTTTTATTGATGCACAATAAAAATTTTGTGGTGGCATGTAACTTGCTATTGTGTACATATTTAATTAATTTTCTATCTGTAACCTACCTAAAACATGCTGGTGTAGGGTGTGAATGTTTATCATGCGCACGCATATATTGGCAAAATATTGTTTAACCTTTTTTTTTTTTTTTTTTTTTTAAGTTTGTTCCCCTAGACAGTGTTGTACCAGAAGAAGTGCCAGTTATAAACTACGAGCCGAGTAGATTGCCGTTATTTAGTCGACAGTATGAAAACAAAGTTTATATAGGTAAATTCTTTATGATGGTAATCTTTTCAGTGACATGATAAAATATTTGTGTATTATGTAATTTATTTTATGATCTTTAACTTGGCAGACATTATAAGCAACCGTTAAGCAGCACTAAAAATTGTTATATATTGTTTGAAATAAGTGTTTTATTTTTATTTTTTTTGATAGCTGACCTACAAAGACGTTGCCAGCCTCAGTGTAGTAGACTCCAAACATTGCTATCAGACTAACCAAAGATTTATCTGCAGATACCCACAATGAAATAATTAGCCAAGAATTTGAATATTGCTTTCTGTTCTAGTAATCTTAAACAATTCAGTGGTGGGGGAAGTGCAAAGGAGAATGCAAAATAGTGTTATTCTATCAGTAATTGGTCACTAACAATAATCCAGCACAACATAAGCAAGGGAAAGCGAAATTAATATCCCATCATGCTTTTCAGTTACATCATCATTTGAATATTATGAATAGGCAAGTGCATTGATGATGCTTATAAAGAGCGGTGTTATTAACCCCCTTAAGGACGGGACTGTTTTTGCGATGTTGTACATTTGCGACCAGGCATCTTTTTACACTTTTGTGGTGTTTGTGTTTGGTGTAATTTTCCGCTCTCTCATTTACTGTTCCCATACAAATTATATATTTTTTTCAGGAGAGAAATGGCTTTCTTTACATACCATTATTTATATAATCTCATTTAATTTAAAAAAAATTAAAAAAATATGATGAAAAATTGAAGAAAAATGCATGTTTTTTGACTTTTACTTGAAAAATCTTTACGCGTCTACAAAAGCAAATGAGAAAAAAACTGCTAAATTCAAAATTTTGTCCTGAGTTTAAAAATACCCAGTATTTACATGCATTTTTGCTATTTTTTTTTGCATGTTATAGGGCTAGAAGTACAAGTAGGATATTGCGGTTTCAAAACATACATTTTTAAAATTTTATCAATAGTGACATTGTAACACTATTATCTGTCATAAATCTCTACTATTATCTGTAGACAACCCAGGGTATTCAATATGGGGTATAACCAGACTTTTTTAGTAGCCACTTAGTCGCAAACACTGGCCAAATTTAAAGTTCATATTTGTTTGTGTGTGAAAAAACTAAAAAAAAAACAAAAACTAAATTGAACGCTAATTTTGGCCAGTGTTTGTGACGAAGTGGTTACTAAAAAAAGACTGGATATACCCCATTTGCAATACCTTGGGTTGTCTTCTTTTGCAAATGGTATGCCATCATGGGGGTAATTCTCATTCCTGGCTACCATACGCTCTCAAAGGCAACGTAACCAACCTGGCCATTTTCAATGTAAAAATATTTGACCCTGTAACTTTAAAAACGCTATGAAACCTGTACATGGGGGTTACTGTTATATTCAGGAGACTTTGCTGAACACAAATATCAGTGTTTCAAAACAGGAAAACGTATCACAACAATATCATCCGTAAAAGTGCTGTTTGTGTGTGAAAAATGCAAAAAGTCACTTTCACGGACAATATCATCGCTGTGATATGTTTTACTGTTTTGAATCACTAATATTTGTGTTCAGCGAAGTCTCCCGAGTAAAACAGTACCCCCCATGTACAGGTTTTAGGGTGTCCTAGAACGTTACAGGGTAAAATACAGTGCTAGCAAATTAAATTCTCTGGACTTTCGGCCTGGCTTGGCAGGCAGGTCCTTCAAATTGCAATCCATAAAATTACTTAATTATGTAGAAATATTACATAAATACGCAAGTAGAAATTAAATATATGCATATTTATATATTTGAAGTCTATGTGTATATTTAATTATGTAATTTTGTATATGGATATATGTATATTTCGTCTCTCTCTCTCTCTCTCTCTCTCTAGTCTATTTTGAGAGATCTCTCTCTCTCTCTCTAGTCTATTTTGAGAGATCTCTCTCTCTCTCTCTCTCTCTCTCTCTCCATTCTAAGTCTATTTTGAGAGCTCTCTCTCTCTCTCTCTCTCTCTCTCTCTCCTAAGTCTATTTTGAGAGATCTCTCTCTCTCTCTCTCTCTCTCTCTCTCTCTCTCTCTCTCTCTCTCTCTCTCTCTCTCTCTCCTAAGTCTATTTTGAGAGATCTCCTCTCTCTCTCTCTCTCTCTCTCCTAAGTCTATTTTGAGATCTCTCTCTCTCTCTCTCTCTCTCTCTCTCTAAGTCTATTTTGAGAGATATCTCTCTCTCTCTCTCCTAAGTCTATTTTGAGAGATCTCTCTCTCTCTCTCTCTAAGTCTATTTTGAGAGATCTCTCTCTCTCTCTCTCTCTCTCCCTAAGTCTATTTTGAGATCTCTCTCTCTCTCTCTCTCTCCCTAAGTCTATTTTTGAGAGATATCTCTCTCTCTCTCTCTCTCTCTCTCTCCTAAGTCTATTTTGAGATCTCTCTCTCTCTCTCTCTCTCCTAAGTCTATTTTGAGATATCTCTCTCTCTCTCTCTCTAAGTCTATTTTTGAGATCTCTCTCTCTCTCTCTCTCTCTCTCTCTCCCTAAGTCTATTTTGAGATCTCTCTCTCTCTCTCTCTCTCTCTCTCCATTCTAAGTCTATTTTGAGGCTCTCTCTCTCTCTCTCTCTCTCTCTCTCTCTCTCTCTCTCTCTCTCTCTCTCTCCATTCTAAGTCTATTTGAGGCTCTCTCTCTCTCTCTCTCTCTCTCTCTCTCTCTCTCTCCATTCTAAGTCTATTTTGAGAGCTCTCTCTCTCTCTCTCTCTCTCTCTCCCCATTCTAAGTCTATTTTGAGAGAGCTCTCTCTCTCTCTCTCCCCATTCTAAGTCTATTTTGAGAGAGCTCTCTCTCTCTCTCTCCCCATTCTAAGTCTATTTTGAGAGAGATCTCTCTCTCTCTCTCTCCCCATTCTAAGTCTATTTTGAGAGAGATCTCTCTCTCTCTCTCTCCCCATTCTAAGTCTATTTTGAGAGATCTCTCTCTCTCTCTCTCTCAAAATACAGTTAGAATAAAATATCATATAGATATAAAAACATTTTTTTAATTTAAATTACTTATTTGTATTTTATATATACAATATATAGTTATTATATATACGTGTGTAATTTAATTATAAGTGTATTTTTATATTAATATATGTACATATTAATATAAATACTTAGTATGACATTATATATATATATATATATATATATATATATATATATATATTTTTTTTTTTTTATTATTATTAACATGTACCTTTATTTTTTATTTTACACTAGCAGGGAGACACATGGACACCTATTGTGACCATGCGATCGCTCTGTTGAGCGATCACAAGGCCACAGGGGTCCTAATCCGCCATGGGGAGACTGTCTGGGCTGCAGGCAGTCTTCCCACACCGGGAGCACCGCCGATCGTCACCGGGGGAACGACGGCGATCGGGTAAGTACATTTAACCGTTAGGACGGTTCAGGACTGTCACCGGTCGGCAACGCTAAAATGCCGATGATGGTCCTGAACTGTCCTCGGTTTAAAGGGATCCTATAGTGCCAGGAAAAAAAAAGTGTTCGTGGCACTATAGGCTCCTGGAGAGTCCCCCTCCCTCGGGGCCCCCCCTCCCATGTGGCTGAAGGGGTAAAAACCCCTTCAGCCACTTACCTGAACCCAGCACTGATGTCCCTAGGGTAAGGGTGGTTGTCCCAGGTCAGTGGGTCGCTTTGGTGTCAGGAGTAAGTGTATTTATCTTAAAAAGCAGCATGAAATTCTTCAGTATAGAAATAAAACAGGATATAGAGCTCTGTTATATATAAAAAGAAAGTAATAAAAGGAGGTATACTCACATAGGGAGAGCAAGCCAGGTTTTTCTCAATCCCATACAGCATAGGTGTTGTATTTGCCACCAAGGAAATAAAAGGGCGAATCCTCTAGATAAAATTTGCAATGGTAACATCAGGAAGGTCCAATTTCAGTGAGAACTAATTTTTTTTATTAAAGGGATACTCCAGGCACTCAGACCACTTCTGCCCATTGTGAGGATCTCCAGCGTCGCTGAAATCCCCATAGGAAACCATTGAATAATGCTTTCCTATGGGGAGGTCTAATGTGCGTGCGGAGCCTGACCCAGCACCGAAGGACATAGGCGCTGGACTCCGGTAAGCAACTTGGCATGGGGGGTGGGAGGGAGAGGGATACTACAGGGTCCTGCAGTGCCAGTAAAACTGTTTTCCTGGTACTGGAGAATCCCTTTAAAGACAATTAAACCAAAATACAGCTAAAACGCTAATGTGTTTCACCACAGAGGCTTTCTCAAAGTGTTCTTTCATTTAAGTGACATTTCCAAAATGCAAAGAGCAGAATTCACTAAAATTCACTCTACTATAAAATGGAACTTTTTATGAATAAGGAAAATAATATAATGCTTGGTATTAGTAATGTAACGATTTATTAACATTATTTTATGCCATGCTTTGCAATTTGGAATTGCAGTCCTGTCTTTCATGCCGCTCTCTGCTCATCCTAAACTTACAGTAATGCTATACACTATAATTTGCATGATGCACAACATTTTCAAGAATACACAGTGTTTTTTGTTTTATATATTACAGACCTTGGGATTGTGAACATGTACCTGTACTGTTTAACTGTACAAATAAGTGCCAGATAATAAAAAAAAAAAAACTTGTATCATCTTATCTTTAGGTTCCCAAGTAGAAGATCTTTGTAAATTTGGCCACACACAGATTCATCTGGTCCCAGATAGATTCACGAGATTGCAACTAGAAAAAAGAAACCTTGCTGATCAAATTGAAGTTTTTCTTCGGTCCAATGCTATAGCCAGTCTGTTTGCATGGACTGGAGCTCAAGCAATGTATCAAGGTAAAGCTAAATATCTATTATAGTTAACATCTTAATGACCAACATCATGCAAAACATGACGTAAAGGGATAACCTTTTAGCGGTTAATAAAATAATTATGACAACCTTTTTATATTACATGGAGACCATTATCCTTTGCTCTCCAACTTGGTTACATTGATAAGGCAGAATTAACATGTCCACACTGGCAATTGCTTCACCCTGAAAAACATTGATAGTCTGAGTGTGCTGGAATAACATGCCCTCGTTAATCTCAGCCAGTAACTGGCATGCATGTTTTATGAGTAATAATTTCATACTGTCTGTTTCTGATGTTGTTGGGGAACGTTGGTCATTGACTGTAATGTTTCCAAATACAGAGAGAGTCGAGGCACACAGATTTCATCATACTGCAGACTTTTTATTAGAATAAGAACAAAATCACAAAGTTTTAACCAATATGGTTGACCTCTCTCACTACTCTCTGTATGTGTATGACCCTGTAGGTTTGTAGTACATGGATTCTTATATACCTCAATTGGTCATTGTGTAGCTTATAATTTTTATTTTTTATTTTTTTGTGAGTTTTGACTTCATTGGTGTCCCTGTACAACTGATATCACAAGATAAGCATGGAAGGTGTCATTAACTACATTCATAACGGAACACTGTGGGGTCAGGAATGCAAACCTGTATTCCTGACTCTAAAGTGTTAAAAAAATCACTATCTCCTCTCCCCCCTTATTTTAAGTCTGCAAGCGATGGCTCTGACCCCGATCTGCCTCCTTGACAGGCATTCTCAGAAGTGATGATCTCAGCCAATCACAATGATTTCCCACAGGAAAGCATTGGATTGGCTGAGACCGTCAAGGAGGCGGACCGGGGCGCAGTGCATAGCGTGGCGACACTGAATGTCAGTGCTGCATACTGTGCCACATTGCCCCAGGTAGCACCTCCAGTGGCCATCTGAGGAGTGGGCACTGGAGGTGTCCCTAGGGAGCAATGTAAACAGCCTGCAGAGACTGACTACTCGCCAGAACAACTACAATAAGCTGTAGTTGTTTTGGTGACTATAGTGTCCCTTTAAAGTACTTAATGTCTAAGTTAAATGTTACTCTAGAGGAATTCAAGCCTTGTAATGTTTCAGCCATAGAGTAAAATGAAAATTATCCTATTTACAGTTTGGCTTTGGTACCCTTTTGAATAATATAAAGTTAACTATTATGTCTTTGCAGGTTTCTGGAGCCATGCAGATGTAACACAGCCCTTTGTGTCACAGGCTATTATTTCCGATGGAAAGTATTTCTCATTTTTTTGTTACCAACTAAACACATTGGCTTTGACTGTTGACACTGATGTAAACAATTCTCGCAAGAACATTTGCTGGGGAACGCAAAGCGCCCCATTGTATGAAACCGTGGAAGGAGACAACATCAAAGGATTTAATGATGACGTCTTTAAGCAGCTGGTTCACTTCTTTCTTAGCTGCTCAAATTAAAAATAGTTTATTAACTTAAAACAAAGAACCTGAAATATTAAGTGATATGACTCGGATATGTATTTATTTGCATATTATCACATGCAGTTACCTGTTGCAAATAAAGTAATGCAAAGTTTTAATTTGGCTTATTTCATAATTTTCTTTCTGATAAGGGATAGAGTAATGAATGCAATGCAAATTAGACAGGCAGGTGTAGATCCGGTTAAATCTATTGTTTTTTGAAAAATTTAACTAATGGGTGTTGGGCAGAAAAAAACTGTACTTGTGAACTCATACAGATCTTGGATATTAATAAAGTTAGAATAGTTTCATATTTTTCACATTTTCATGTTGAGAAAGCATTTGTAGACGCGAAACACGTCCAATGTTTTCATAGATTTTTGTGTGTGTGACCTTTTTCGGCGTCACGATGGCAACGATGCTAGCGTCACGGAAATGGGCGGAGCCAATGCGGCACATGCGCACACAATCCGGTAGGACGCTGGTTTTCACACACAGCACCTGGGGTGAGTTAAATTACAATTATTGCATTATATGTGTGTGTGTATGTATATATTGTTTTTAAAATGTATTTGTGATCCTAATGAAAGTCCACAAGATGTACTGAAACGTTGATCTGTTTTAGACGTTGGAATAAAAGTTATATTTTATTGGAATACCGAGAGTGCAACCAACTATTTTTCTATTTGGATATCTAAGCACCTGGTTTGGCATATTTTTGGAGCCTGAGTGCAAGTTACAGTCTAACTTATAAAAATTTTTTTTTTAAATTTATATAAAAATTTCCCCTCTACTCCCTCCTACAGGTACATGGACTTTTTTATTTATTTTGTCTGTTCGTGAACATCAGGTCTGTACGCGTAAGCCATGTTCTCTTTTGTATTAATAAACCTGTACTAACAAAGGATATATTCTCAGTGCGTTTTTTTCCACTTTAATTACTTTTGATAGTTTGATATATATATTGGGAACAACGAAAATCCGCACAGAAGATCTGCACTTGCTATGCCATCATAAGTAACTGTGGCACAATTACATTTCCTTTATATTTTCTTTATCTATTAAATTCCCTCGAATATTATATTTGGAGTAGGGGCACATTTTATTTGTTTCATTATATTCATTAGAATATCTTCATATTTTTTTGCCATTGTTTGCCATGTTTGTGTATAAACGCAACTTATTTTCTTTCATTTAGAGGCAATTTCAGAATTAATGTAGCTGCATTTCATTCTTGCATGGAGAAATTCAGTGTCTCCATGCAGAGCATACCTTTAATACCTTCTGATGGCCAGGGTAAATGTATATCTTTTGGATCTCTCAGCTGCATTTGACACCATTGACCACAAGATTTTAATAGAGCACTTGCAGCACATCTGTGGTCTAAGAGACACAGTCCTTAACTGGTTTAAGATTTTACTCACTGGTAGATCACAGAGGGTAACATCAGGATCAAACTCATCGGCACCAACAGAACTTTCCTGCGGAGTTCCACAAGGATCCATCTTTTGTCCCATGCTATTCGCAATTTACTTGCTACCACTGGCGGACATCATTGGGCGACATGGACTAAGTCATCATTTTTACACTGATGACACACAACTCTGTTTCTCTTTTGCTCCAGATACCACAGACCCAACATGCCGCATCAATAGTTGCTTAGCAGACCTCATAGAATGGATGAATGCTAGTTGACTTAAAGTGAACCCGGACAAAACAGAGTTACTCTTGGTGAGGGGAACTCTGGCAACAAAAATATCCCCTGATCATCCAACTGGCCAGGAGCTTGGAGGCTCTGAACTCATTAGTTCATTAAAGGTTTCGAAACCTCTGAGTGCTGATTGAGTCTGGACTATCATTTAAAGAGCAGATTTCCTCCGTAATAAAATCTGCCTATTTTCATCTGGAAAAAAACAGCCCAGATACAACCCTCTAATCCACTGGATGATATGCCATCATTAATCCATGCATTTGTATCCTCTCTGCTAGATTACTGCAATGTACTTTTACTTGAGCCTCCCAGAAAAAAAAAAAAAAACTCCATCACCTTCAGACTGCACAAAATGCAGCAGCCAGACTACTGACCAATCAAACTCACATAACACCTGTTCTTCACTCCCTGCATTGGTTTCCAATTAAATGGCGAACATATTTTAAAATTGGCCTGCTAACCTTCAAAGCCTTAAACAATCAAGGCCCACAGTACCTGAAAGAGCTCCTGACACCCTACATACCATCCCGTTCACTTCGGTCAGCCAGCAAATCACTTCTGGCAGTGCCAAGAATAAAGACAGACTCGGGTTCCAAGGCATTCAGCAACACTGCCCTTTCCTTCTGGAACTCTTTACCTTGCACAATCAGAGAGGCACCGTCCTTACAGACTTAAAAGACAAAAAACACACAAAGCTGAAGACCCACCTCTTCCATCAGGCATTCAGTCCGCTCATCTGACCTTCAGAAACTCCTAACTTTTATGTCTTTATGTTTGTATATTTGTAAAGTGCTTTGAGTCTCACAGGAAGAAAAGTGCTATAAAAATCGCAAAGTATTTTATTATTATTATAATTACCTTTTACAGAGTCCGGTTGAGTTTTTTCCTGGTCTATTAATCATTCAATTTCCTTCTACCCTCAGCACTCTCTGATCTTTCTTTTCGTAAAGGGGCTTTGATATGGAGGTATCTAAATATGTCAGCTGTATATATATCATCCCTCAGTTAACCATTGCATCCCGTGGAATTCTTACCTGTTTTAATGTCTTTGAAATCTTCACCCCTTTCAACCATGAGATTATCTCGCCACAGTTGCTTAGACTTAAGTTAGCTCTATCGGTGACATTAGCATTGGAGGAAGCTATTCTAGTGGAAGTACTCAAACAGACTCTGTTACGGAGGTGTAACTTAAAGGCATTACAATAAGTCAATATACTTTTAGAGTTATATTACATTATACAATTAGGCTATTTAACAATATGAAATTTTACAACATGACAGGAGGCATCATATTTTGCATTAAACTCTCGTTACTGACCTTCAGCAGCACAGATCATAACAGAAAAAACAACCAATCAGAAACAGGCTGATAGAGGATATATAAAGCCCTCCAAGCTCAAGCACCTCCTCTTTCTTAGTAGCGATAATAAATAACATATGTGCAAAAGTAGAAAACAAGAAGAAACAGAAGCATGTCCTCTTACTCTGCTGCTCCTACTGTGCACAAGTCAGACTAATTTGTTCCTTTTTGACCATTTATACTTATTGCCTTGTTTCTTTGATTAATTCTTTGATGTTTTATTATTTCTGTATGTCCCTTGGCTTTCCAACTGTGTTTCCCCTTGTCCCTAGGATTGAAATTCTCTTTCTGTTCTCTCCCTGTACTTTACCCTCTCAGGCCTGAACTTTCTGGCTCTTCTCGTCTGTTATTCACTGCTTGCGCAATGCGGCCGCTGGTGCTGCGATCATGCATTTTTTTTGTTTTGTGGTTGCTTGATTTGGGTATTGTGGAGGTGTAGGGTGCACTGTGCTTTCTTGCCTGCGTTGCGTGTGAATGGTGGCTATCTTGAATCTCCGTGACCTGCGAGATTCATAGTGACCACCTTTATTCTCATGGCAGGTCTTGGCTTTCTTTGATTGCTTGATTTGGGGATTGTGGTGGGGCACTTTGGGTGGTGGCGTACGGGGCGCACTGTTCTTTCTCACCAGCCGCTGCGAGCGAATGGCAGCTATCTTGAATCTGACGTGACCCATGAGATTCACGGTGGCCATCTTTATTCTTATGGCAGATTGTGATTTACACAGTGATTTACAATTTGATATATATCCCTTTATAGTAGACTATGGGATCTTCCAACCCTGTTAATTCAGAAAATACTCACTTCAATCTGTGGTCCTATTAATTGAATAAGATTACAGGCTGAAGTGGTTGAGTATGAATCCAGGTAATTTTTAGGACTAGAGGACAATTTCCTTCAAATAAATATGGGGATGTTTTTCCCAGTCCTAATATTTGCACAGTGTTAGCACTAGTGCTACTGATAATAAAATATATAACAGAGCATTACACTGAGTGCCACTAGATGTCACTAAAGACCTACTAAGACTATCCAGTGTTTCAATTCCTTTGGGGAAAACATGTAAGTACGTAGTGGCATATCGTGATGCAGCATAATAACAGAGAACTAATCCCACTTACCACCTAAATAATGACAGACAACGTAGTATGGATGAAACAAGCCCCACACAGCATTTATTATAACATATGATAAATACTGTATTACACATCCATAATTTATTTTTAATCTTTATCTTTACTTGATATAAACCAAACGTCAAACATAAATAAGCATTACTTAACAAATAGGTTAACATATAGTGTCATACAGTATAACCCAACCGTCCTTGCCAATATACTGACCATGGGCCTATGCATCACTTCTTCTCACCTCCGCCCTCGGCATAAATTCCTTTTTCATCCTAATGCTTACCACCAGCCGACATTTTTCCTCGCTCGATGAGCACATCCAAACAGGTAACCTAAGGTGAACCCTTTAGAGCAGGGGAGGTTGAGATCTGAAACATGACCACCTCATTTCAAATATTTACATAACCGCCTCAAACTTAATGGCAAGGACATACCTCTGGCCACAACCCCGCTGTTCTACACCTAAAATCAGTGGGGGGACCCCACCAAAACCACCTAAGGCCTGTTCCACCGCTTCCTGCAGGGTGAGATTAAAGAGGTCGAGCCCGACCTTCGTCAAGTGCACCCCGTCCCTCCCCGAAATAGATTGGCAGCATCCCGCTCAAAGACCCTATGGCGAACTGGAATCCTCTGAACACCCAAAACAAATCTAGAAACCCTCCTGTTCAGTTTCCAAAGGGCGATAACCTCGGACCAAACCAGTCGTACATCCGGGAATCAAACTAAAATGCATGCCATGTCCCGCTTAACAGCAGATGCTAAATCCCATATGGGCACCGAACCTAGGTCATTCCCCCCAGATGAATGACAAGACACTCGGAACCCCCTTAGGAGGCGAGACAGCTGAACCAGGTTGGGGAAAAGCTGCACCCACCTCATGCCTCTGGTGCCAAACCAACAAACCTTCGCTTCAGAAGGCTTAAGACACAACCGCTTGCCTCCAGGCCAGACCGCCGTACGCCTCCTGGCCCAATAGACATAGGAGTGTCCCATGATCCATACTCTGGGGGGAACCGGACCTGCGGAGAGAAATCCACTCAGGAGACTAGCAGGGTGAATATAAGAAAGATAATGCCCCGACTCCCAACTCCTGATTCTTTGAACTACATGCGCCGGCATGCCAAGCCTAGAGGCCTCAGTAGCAGCCCCTATATGTAATGAATTCCCCCGAACTCCCTGCTATCAATACCCAGGAATTGAGACAGCTTCTGTCCTCGTGAACCAAAAGGGGAGGGTGGAAGGAACAGTACTCATCGAAGGAAAATACGGGACAAATGCCGGAACCCGACACTTACCCGTCCCAAAGACATCAGTCATCGAGCAGCGAATCCTGAAGGAAATATGGTCTGCTGCGCAAGTAACATCACCAAAAAGCACCTCCCCCTCGCTGACGACTAGGACTCATCAGCTACCCAATCCGCATGGCCCCAAAGAATGCCAGGGAAAAAGCCAGCCGAAATAGACAGGCCTCAAAGACAGAATGGTAAACCTTAGGTAACGACTCACACAAACTAGCCAAAAGAGCACCTGAGACAGGACGCCTTGAGTCCCGGGCCTGGTGAACCATAAATGCCTTGGAAGCATCCTCCTATCCTTGCAACTTGAACAGGAAACGGAGCCCTGCAATTGTGAAGAAATTGCAGAAGGGGATAACCCAGCAGACTCCCAAGCCCCTAAGAGACGTAAAAAACCCTATAGGCAAGGGGAC